ATCAACAAGTGGAGAAAATATTGTGCAAATGTTACTTCTGTAAATATCCACTCAATGAGCACTCAAAGTGCTTTCTACCACAAGTTTTATTCATCCAGTCACACGCACTCATACAGTGATTTTATGTATTACTTAAGTGCTTTATAACACTCACATACACTTTACGGATGCACTGAGGGCAACTGAGGGTTAGGCATCTTGCCCAAGGATACTTCGACATCAGGACTGGAGGAGTCGGAGCAATCCACCAACCATCTGATTGGTAGATAACCCACTCTACTGCCTGAGCCATAGTGACATTACTGTGAAAAGGACTACAGGAGCATTAAAGGAGCTGCCTGAACTTCTGGCAAGAACTGGTTGTGCACTACATGTGACAGCAGTCCCTGTGGTTAAGGATGGCAAGATGGAAGCCTTTTCTTATAGAGAAAAACATCTGATCCCAGCTAAATTTTGCATACATTGAACAAACATGAAGTCTTCCAAAAGTGTGTTGGAAAATATGTTATAGTGTGATGTGGCCAAGGCTGAACGTTTTGGTCATAATTCCAAAAGGTTTGTTTGGCAGAAAAAACAGCATTGCACATCACCAAACGAGCACCATACCCATGGTGAATGTAACAGGGCAGCCCTTAGTGGCTGGAAACACAGTGAGACAGACCAAGGCAAGTGTAGTGGAACAAAGTATTTATTTGCTATATGGCTCTCCTTAAAACAATTAACTTGTCGAGCTTCTTCACAGCACAAAAAAAATCCACCTCTAATGACAACTGGCAGCCTTAAATATGTTCAGCTGTCACAGACTTAACCATTCTTCCACTCTCAGGTAAATTCTTAAATCCCAACCTTCCACCACAGTATACAATATATCAATAAGAATAAATAAATACATAAATACATTTTCACATTTACATATTAATAAATACTTCACACTTTAATGTTACACCAAACCCAATATTATAAAAACCCAGAAACCCAAGCACAACAAGATTCACCACACTCTCTTAACCCATGGTCTCTCCCGGAACCTTTAAATGGTGTCTGGACCCCCGGGGAAACATTTGCCCAAACACCTTGAAGAGGACACAGGCAAGAAAGGTGAGTAATCATTAACTTACAAACACTTATTTGCACCACTTTTATCCCTAGATTTCACACACACATTTGCATTAGTTTTCCTTATTGGTAAACCTTAATCATAATCTCAAGCACCATTCTTCTCTCCTGACAGACAACCACCACATTCCTTGACGAGGAGCAGCTGTGCAGGATCTGAAATAAGGCTACCAACTGATTTTAAAATTCCCAATAAATAGTCAATAAATATTTAAACTTCTTGTGTGCAAATCCATGCTTAAAGTGCAATGCTCATAAAGTGCTTGATAAGGTGCTTTTAATAAAGTGAAAGGTGTGCTCTAAAGTGCTATACAGACAATACAATATAAATAAATGCAGTAAGGGAGTCCTCTTCCTTACAGTGAACCATGGTGGTGGCAGGAACATGCTTTAGAGGCTGTTTTTCTTAAGCTGAGACTGGAATTTTACTCAAGTGGGAGGAAATTACAAAAAGTTCCAAATATCAGTCATTTTTGTCATAAAGTCTTCAGGTGTCTGCTAGAAAGATAAAGAGGAATTTCACCTTTCACCACAACAATCCAAAGTATACACCCAAATCATTAAAGTAATGGCTTCACCAGTAGAAGATTGAAGTTTTAGAATGGCCCAGCACAAGCCCAGACCTAAATTCAATGGAAAATCTTTGAAGTGACCCGAAGAGGGCTGTGCACAGGATACGCTCTTGCAATCGGACAGCTTTGGAGTGCTTTTGCAAGGAAGAGTGGGCAAGTTACCAAGTTAACAATTGCTGTGCTGACTCCTACCCAAAAAGGACTCAATTTAAAACTAGTACCGGTACCAAAAAAAAGAAGATTTATTCATAACACACGTGAAAAGACCCAGGAAAACCAAGTTAACGATAAAAATGATAACAAAATAACGCTGAAAACCGATTTAAAAACCCTGAAAACCATACATTTCACACCTGAGCCTCAACTCTCGCGGCCCGGTACCAAACGACTCACGGACGTCGGACTCCAACCCCAGTCCGACGTCCGGGGGTTGGAGACCACTATTCTAGATCACAATAACCGTGGAAACGATTCTGAAATCATTTATCTTGGTCTTGTGATTTTTTTTACATCACGAAACCATGGCATTTTATCAAGGATGTGTAGACTTTTTAAATCCAGTGTATTGTTGTTTTTTCAGGGGCATGAAATTTACACAATGTCTTGTGTAAATTTCATGAGCTCTTATCCTCTTATCTCTTTGATGTTTGGGCTGTAGAAGAGGAAATGTGACAAAGCTTGGGGAGCTGATGGTGGAGTTCCCCCTACACCCAGGCCTCACCAGGGCCCTGCTCAAGGCTGCCTCCCTCGGCTGCCAAGACCTGTTGCTTGCTGTGGCGGCCATGCTGTCGGTGGAGAACATCTTCATCAGGCCAGGTCCGCAGTAAATTTTAATGTTGATAATTTAAAGGAAATGTCTTCTAACAGAGACAATAAGCTATACATACAATACAGTCCATTTATTTACTGATATGCTGGTTTATTTGTGTATGTATTTCACATTCTACCACATGGGGAAGGCAGGTGACATGGAATGAAATAAAGCTTTCTGCTCACAAAGTGTTGGCTGATCTCTTGTTCCCCTCAGGCCACCCTGATAAGCAGAAAGAGGCAGATAAGAAGCACAGAGCGCTGGCTGCAAAGACTGGCAGTATGAACGACTTTGCCACACTTCTCAGTGTCTTTCAGTCCTGCAAATCCAGGTGAAGAAAATAATCGATTAGTACTACAAGATGCATTTCTATTTTCCACTTCTTCCTCTAGAACTTCACATTGCATGACTTTATCTGTGAGCCGCTGTGTGAGCCTCTTATTTGCTCTATAGTGATCGACCTTCAGCGTGGTGTAAAGAGAACTGGATCCACTGGAGGGCGCTGAAGTCAGCCTTTAGTGTGGAGACTCAGCTACGAGACATCCTCCACCGACTCCAGCAGGTAAAGCTTTTTGACATCACTGCGACGCTCTGCTAATTTGTTCATATTGCTTCTCATTGTTTGTGGATCTGCCTGCTTGCTTTCTAGAAAAAAGATTTCCCCGTAGAAACATTTGATGGCAACAAGAGTGAACTCTTTAGGCGATGCCTCTGCACAGGATACTTCACTAACGTTGCAAGAAGGTATCTGAAATGATGCTATACGGCCTCATTTGGGGATTCATTATATATAAAAGATTATAAATTCACGGTGGTTGTTGATGTATTGCTTTATCCCATCCCACATAGGTCTATTGGAAAGGTGTTTTGTACAATGGATGGCCATGGATCAATGGTTCACATTCATCCATCCTCATCTGTAAATGATTTTTAAAAATGTTTTTGCTTTAAATAATTCTCTGTATTCAAACTGCAACATAAACTTACTCTGAGTTTTTCTTGTGGCTTCAAGCTATTTGACCAGGAGGGAGAGCTGAACTGGGTCATCTTCCATGATGTGCTGGCGACATCACGGGTGTACATCCGGACTGTTTGTCCTATTCGATATGAGTGGGTGAAAGATTTATTACCCAAACTCCATGAAGTGGACGCCTATGAACTGAGCAGTGTGGCGAGAGAAGAAGTTACAGCCGAGGAAATGACAAAATGGGAGTCCAGGGAAGCCGCCAAAAGACAATCAGGTTGTTAAAAGTAGAATCTGAGGCAGTCTTCAGCTTTCAGGCCCCTCTTCTGTGAAACCAACTCCCAGTTTGGATTTGACTTCTCTCACCTCTTCACCATGTGTTATACACCACTCTAAATGTAATCATTCTGGTTCTGCAAGAGATTTATTCCTCTTAAAAGGGAGTTTTTTCTTTCCACTATGACCAAGTGCTTGCTTATAAGGGGTCGTGGGATTTTCTCTGTATTTGTGTAGGGTCCTTACCTTACACTATAAAGCACTTTGAGGCAACTGTTGGTGTGATTTGGTACTATATTAAATTGAAGAGGATAAAACTGACTTGTCAGAATATGTATTTATGATGTATGTATTTATTTATTGTTATATAATATTGTGGTTCTTGGTCTGTACTCACATTACTGAGAGATACCATCAAAAATAGCTCAAAGAGGATGAATTTAAAAGGGTTAACCTGTGCGGTGCTTTTCTGTTTGTTTGTTTTTTAATCTTCCAGAGGTTTCTGATGAGGATGCAATGAAGAAGCTGGAGAAGCGAAACGACGAAACCACAGTGAGCGAAGCTCGTGCTCGCTACCTGCAGCGAAAGCAGCAAAGGCAGCAGAGTAAACCTCTCTGATGTTTTTAAGGAAGTGATTCATACGCTATAATACAAAGGAGCAGTTTTAGAAGACATTTAAATAATAAAATATGTAGTGGTAATAAAATCGCCTCTGTCTTCTTTAATCCCTCCACTTTACATGCTACACTGCAGTTGTGACTCTGTTTGCTTTTAAAACTCCTAGCTGACTGACTTGAGATCCATTAACATTAATTTGGCTTGTTTCACACGACTGCCTCCCTGTCACTCAGTCCAGCTCTTTCAGGCTAAGGTTACAGCAAAGCACTTGATGTACTTTCACACTGACCGTTCAGGTGCAGTGGACCCCTCTCTGGTCTCGTACGTCACTTCCTTTTAGTGTGAGTCTGCGGGGCCGCTGTACTGTCTGGCTGGGACGGAGGGCTTCGGTGCTAACCTTATTAAACTCCAAAGAGGCGTTTTCTTTTCTCCTGGATTGTTCTTTTTAATTACTTGTCATCGCATTTACCTGCCCGGCACTTCGCACCTTAGTGGAATCTGTTCCCTGGTCTGTTCACACACGTTTCAACAGAGCACTGCAGCAGCGACTTGAGCAAGCACGCCGCCGCTACCGCTGTTGTTGTCAGAGAAGAAAACAAGCTCGGCGAGCAGTCCGCTAAGCTGTGTGATCATTGACAGAGTTCAATACACACACGCTTCCAGTGATATCTGAGGGTAGCTCTGCGATAGCGTAGCTCCGAGCCTTTTCAAAGAAGCGACGGCTGGGACTTCTTCGTTGTCACTGAAGCCGAGGTAAGAACAACCAGAGTAACGAGAAATACCGCAAACGGCTAACTAACATGCTAACTAGCTGCTAGCTTGAAGGATATTTTGGCTAGCTGCCTTGTTTGGTCGTAATGCGGTCACGGTCAGTGTCCTCGCTGCTACCTGACGCGCCACTTGGCCTAGCTGCACATCGGCTATAATGTTAGCTGGGAGTGTTGTAACTACTCTACTCATAAGCTAGAGAAGCTTTGAGCCCGCTTTGGACTTGGAGGAGTAGCATTTGTTGACTTTGTTTCAGTTAGCTAGCTACACCACTGGAGGATGTGGACGTGTTAACGTTACGGTAATGTTTACGTTTGGCAGCTTGTGGTCGCGCTGAGTACGGTGCTTAGTTTTAAATTTGAATTAAATGATATTTTCCGACAGAGTAGCAGCATATACGTCCACTTGCCTCAGTTTCTTTAAGAGTTGCTGCATTTTAGGGCAAAAAACAACCTTAACGCTTGGCTGGTAGTGTTGGGAGGAGAGGTCACGTCTGTAAAAACAAAGGGGTGTAAGTTTACAAGGAAATGTCCTCCTTGTTTATTATCTCAGAGAGCAATTACCTATTATTCTGGCCAAGCTGTGATAACTAAGGATAGTCATAAAAAAAAGAAAGTCTGAAGTCGAGGGGAGCCTTATCTGTTTCATCTTTGTAAACAAGGCAGTTCAAACAGTCTTTGTGACTGTACGCACTGTAATATTCAACCCCTTCATTTTCACCGAAACGCTGCGAAATTCCGGTAAACCTATTATCTAACATAAGCTGTTGATTCAGGACTGACCCTGGATCACCAAGGCCTCTCCACAAACATTTAACAAGAGCCGTTGTTGCTTTTTGACATTACACAGCGTTTCAGCCATTTCACTGTTAGATGAGCGGCATTGATTTCCTGATCACTTTCACTTGGCTATTGCTCGAATACGAGGATCTACTACGTTTGGCTATAACGTGACAGTAAAAAAAAAAAACCAAACAAACAAAAAAAAAAACCCGGGGGTTGGTAAAGATTTGTCAGAGAGATTTGCATGAGATAATGATTGACGGCACCTGGAGTGGTCATGATAATGATGTGCAAATTGCAGCAGTTTTCTTTTGTTGTGGAGTTGCTTTTCAAAGTGGCAGAAGGTGGAGAGTTTACTCAGGCACATTGCTGCAATGACAGCAGTCAGATAGGCATCAAGAGCAACACTTTTTTTTCTTCTTTGTGCATGTGTGTCAGTTTCAGTTTGTCTTCACCGTTTTGCTTCCTTTAGGCATCGTGTCTTCTCGTATTCATTTTCGTTCCTCTGCACCTTAGTGAACATTAAAAACAATTACTTGAGGCTATGTGTTCCTATTCAAAGTGAGGAACCGAATTGTCCATTCAGGGAACGTTTTTAGTAGTTATCGACAACTAACATTACACTTTTCCGATAATCCTGTGCAGCTCTGCGTGTTTCTTATTTAAATGAATGTAGATAACCCATTTAACTTGGCTTTTTAACTGGCTTTGTTGTATTTTACCTTTCATGCTCTTCTTGGTTATTCTCAATTTAACTGGTGTGCTTGGTTCTTTCCTCCAGGTATTTCTTTCTTTTTTTGTTGTTGTTATCTGAGCCACAGTGAGGCACTTGACCAATAAGAACAGCTTGCACAATTTCCACCAACCTGTCTGCAGCCCCCTCCCTACCCAGACAGTCTTCTGCCCCAGCATGAATGAAGTCAGTGTTGTGAGAGAGGGATGGCTCCACAAGAGAGGTAAGGGGACCTTTGTGTTCAACATCCATCACCTGAGTCTGCATTAAATGACATAATTTTATATTTTAAGTATTAGCTACTTCTCATGAGCTTGTCAGGGGTTCCTTTATTGACAGAGAACAGCTGTGAGAGCCTTATTGGATTCCCAGTGTAATGATGTTCGAGTACATGTATAGGAAAGTCAGACATCACTGGCCTCTCTTTAAAAAAAAAAAAAATAAATAAATAATCTGTTTTTCAGGTGAATATATTAAAACATGGCGTCCTCGTTACTTCATCTTAAAGAGCAATGGCTCCTTCATTGGCTACAAAGAGAAGCCTGAGGTGTCCAGTGACCACAACCTCCCACCACTCAACAACTTCTCTGTCGCAGGTCAGCTTTCCCTTCTGGCTGACAAACTTGAGTCAGTGCAATATCTAAACTCTGTTTTATTGTTGGTGCCTTCAGCTGAAGTGTCTGTGCTTTTGCAGAGTGCCAGCTGATGAAGACGGAGCGCCCCAAGCCCAACACGTTTGTCATTCGGTGTCTGCAGTGGACCTCCGTTATTGAGCGGACTTTCCATGTAGACAGCAATGAGGAGAGGTAAGACTTCCCACTCTCTGTGGGAAAAGTGTCGATCACAGTGGCTTTAGGCTGGTGCATCTTAAAATTCAGTTTACTTGTGAAAATGGCTTTTGTCTGTAATTTGTCTCTCCATACTACATAAATATCCTAAAAATGAACTTAAATATTGTTCAGCGATGACATAAACTCTGCTTGAGCTCAATAAACCTTGTTTTCTTTATCATCATTTGCAGAGCGCTGTTTCACTAGAACCAGACTCCAGTTATTTATTTATTATTTATATCCAGTTATTATTTAATTGCTCTGAAGTGGATTTTGCCCTTTCTTTTGTTTCAGATACATAACAAGTTTAAATAAGTGAACTGATCATACATGTGCGGTCTTGGAGATGACAGATTTAAAACAAAAGCAGAGTTTTATATAGCGTTGCCATGGTATCCAAATGTTGGCAATATGTTTTTTTAATTTATATGATACAAAATCCTTTGTGTAACCAAGTTGATTTTAGTATGTAGTTTTGATCACATCTTAAAACAGCTTTAAAAGAATAAAAACGGAAAGACACAGAATGGACCAGAATTAATCCAGAGTCGATAAATGGGTCATTGTTAACCACACTCACTGAAAGCCATTTAGTTTCCAAGTATGAGCAGCCATCATAATCTAAAGAGAATTCAGGGCCAGATTAGGCCTGATTATTCACCTCTAACCCAAGCATTCGTCATTGGGCTTTGTTTACATCGTCTCTGCCAAGTAGCAAATCCCAGCAGCCCCTAGATGACTAGTACACGGATTATCCTCTACCTTCTAAACTTAGCATGCTAGACTACAGATTTTCCCACTGAGATTTATTTAAATTTTGACTACTTTGATGCGTGTGTGTTGCTCCAATCAGGGAGGAATGGATGCGATCGATCCAGGCGGTAGCAAACAGCCTGAAGAGTCAGCAGCAGGATGAGGAGCCCATGGAGATCAAATTTGGCTCCCCGAGTGACAGCAGTGGCATGGAGGACATGGAGATTGCTGTGTCCAAATCCCACACAAAAGTGGTCAGTATTTGCACAAGCAGTGCCTGGCAGCTGAGTGTATGCTGTGTTTGTCCAGCTAAGCTCATCTTTATTGAGCAAGTTGTTCAAACTTTAAGCCTCTTTCTCAAAGCTTTTTTTTTTTCCCTTGGTTTTGATGAAGCAATCTTTAAAGGAGTTCAGGGTAACATTTCATTATATATTTTATCAATTGCTAAGTCACTTCAATTGATTTTGAAGATTGTTGAAAATAACAACCAGTGAGGTTGTTATTGAGTATTAAAAACATATAACATGTGTAGCTGTTAATGTGTACTGATCAAATACAAGTTTGTTGTTCTGTAAAGAAGTCTTAATTTATGGGGTAAAAGTGTTCCTATCACATCTTATCCCAGTTGAAGTGTTCTGCTTTACTTTGTGTTTGTGCGATATAATTCAAATTGTGATCTGCCTCCTTGTCACCTCCCTTACATTCTGTACACCAGAGGCCTGCACAAGTCTTTGAAGTAATTCTTTGAAATGAATATGAGTCCATCTTGTTGCTTTTGTTTCTCATGCAATATGAAAAATTAGCAATATTTTGAACTACATCATGGCATAACATGTTGCCTGTCATTAACACGAGAAATCAACATGCTAGGATACATCAGCAGTGTCCAGTAGCTGTTACTTTACATTTTAGATAGAGGTAGTTCCGATGTATTTATACATAAGAACACATCCTTCAGTCCAATCAGAGTTCGAAGAAGAAACATTGGTGGCATCTTTGAGAGTTGAGTTTCGTTCAAGAGCACTCGTAGACCCATTAATTTGTCTCGGCTGATCTTTGACCTCTGTTTTCTCAGACTATGAGTGACTTTGACTACCTGAAGCTTCTGGGCAAAGGGACATTTGGTAAAGTGATCCTGGTGAAGGAGAAGGCCACAGGGATGTACTATGCCATGAAAATCCTGCGCAAAGAAGTTATCATTGCTAAAGTGAGTCCTGTCACATCAATATGTGTAGTAGCAGAATTCTGAGCAGTTAGTTAGGTGTTGTTTACACTCAAAGTACTGAATGTGTGTTTATATTTAGGATGAGGTGGCACACACAGTTACAGAAAGCAGAGTTCTCCAAAACACACGGCATCCTTTTCTAACGGTGGGTAACGGTGCATCTATTGTTGTTTCAGTTTCTGCTTTCCTACAATGACTGGACTTTCATCAGCATAACACAGTCAGTAATTCATCTTCCCTCTTTTACAGACACTAAAATATGCATTTCAAACACACGACCGGCTATGCTTTGTGATGGAGTATGCAAATGGAGGAGAAGTAAGTCTTCCTCTTTCTCTTACTGTTGTGTCATTTCTTTGCGTGACCTTTTGGAAAATGGCTAGTTGCAGAAGGGCAAAAACATAGAGGACACTGCAGTATTGGGTCACATTAATGAATAAAAAAGAATAGGTTTGATTTGAGAAATGTATTCCAATGTGCCTTTTTCTTTTCAGGAAATCCAATGTCTTGAGAGGATTTACGAATATTTTTTTGAGCTCTTTCCTGTTTTTAATTCTCTTGCAGCTCTTCTTTCACTTATCCCGGGACAGAGTATTCACAGAAGACAGGGCTCGATTCTACGGTGCAGAAATAGTGTCAGCACTGGAGTATCTTCATTCACGCAATGTAGTTTACAGGGACCTGAAGGTAGGAGGATTTCTGGCTTTGACTGTATAACAGTAATGTATACATATATTAAGGAGGGATGGGAGCGATATATAGGGATTAGCTAGTAAGGGAGTAATGACTTGATAGCATCATTACTCCATGCAGCATCTCTGATGCAACACATCAAAACATCCAAGTTTTGCAGTCACACTGCAACAGGACAACAAATAAGCACTTTTAATATGTACAATAAGTATGCGATTTTAAATTATTTTCCCAGCATGGCTGTGGGCTGATTTGACTCTAATTTGAATTTCTCCCCGCACAGCTGGAGAACCTCATGTTAGACAAGGACGGCCACATAAAGATAACAGACTTCGGCTTGTGTAAAGAAGGGATCACAGACGGCGCCACCATGAAAACCTTCTGTGGAACCCCGGAGTACTTGGCACCAGAGGTAATTCAGTGGTTGCTTTTATTGTCATGAGGGTGGTTTGTGGACAGTATGATGTAAAAAGGCACCAGTGACACAGAGCTGGATGAGACAAGTGGGATAGATGATAAACAATATTACCTTGATAAAAGGACCAGTCACAGTATTCAAAGTGGCCATTTTATCAGAGGATGTCTGTTGCCACCTTGTTCCCAATTTTCTTTTGTGATGGAAAAAATGTTTACTGATATTCCTGCACCGCTATTTTCATTGTTTGGTTTCTTTCTCAACACTTTTCATTTCTACCCTGTCAGGTGCTGGAGGACAACGATTATGGTCGAGCAGTGGACTGGTGGGGATTGGGTGTAGTGATGTATGAGATGATGTGTGGCCGATTGCCTTTTTACAACCAGGACCATGAGCGCCTCTTTGAGCTTATCCTAATGGAGGAGATCCGCTTCCCCAAGAACCTGGCTCCTGAGGCCAAGGCCCTGCTGGCAGGCCTGCTTAAAAAAGATCCCAAACAGAGGCAAGTTGTCCCATCACAATAAGCACTACTTTATGAATATTATGAACAATAATTAGAGAGAGAATTAAATGGCTAAGTTGAACCTTAAAATTTTTTACAGCCACTTAACCAAAAATAAACCGCCTAAAATATGTTTTTGATTAAAGCTTAAAATTCTTGAATACATGAATATTTATTCATTGTTTTGAACTTTATCTGCAGCATAATGGATACATGGCAGCAGTTCAGCTGCACTTGTTGCACTCTGTTAGTTTTCTGAATCTTCCACTGTGCTCAGGGGCACCATGTATTCAGCTATAAAAGGAGTAACCATGTTATTTAAGCCCATGTTCTTTCTTGATTTGTTTTGGCTCAGGATAATGGCCATAAACAGGAATGTAATTAGTTGTTGTTTTGACCAAGCACTGCGTTTCTGGTAATAGTTGGAGAACTGCTAATATTAGCACATTAAGGACTGCCTGCAGGCTTACTAACACATTTTATATGGTAAGGAAATGAAAAATAAATTTGTCTACAAATTGGTAAATATAAGTCAGTGGAGACCAACACAACAAGTGCTTGTTGTGCCCATCTAATGACTGTGTTTTGTACATTTATTTGTAGCTGGTGAGTGTGTGGGTGGTGGTGACGATGATGGTGTTTTTGTTGTGTTTACAGGCTCGGAGGTGGTCCAGACGATGCCAAAGAAGTGATGAGCCACAAGTTCTTCACCTCCATTAACTGGCAGGATGTCATTGACAAAAAGGTGAGATGAAAACAAACGATGGGGGAAACTGGATGACCGGCATGCTAACTGACTGATTTCCTTCCTCTCCTCAGCTTATTCCACCCTTCAAGCCACACGTAACGTCCGAGACGGACACGCGCTACTTTGACGACGAGTTCACAGCACAATCTATTACAATAACTCCTCCAGACAAGTGTAAGTGCACTTAAGTGGCTGCTTTTCTTTGTGCTTGGATTTATTTTTTCTAAGCAGCTCTAAGTTTTTTTTGTTTTTGTTTTTGTTTTTTTACGTCTAGTTTCATCTTTGTATCATCTTCTTCTCTCCCCTCCAGATGACAGTTTAGACGTAGAGGATTCAGATCAGCGTACTCACTTCCCTCAGTTCTCCTACTCTGCCAGCATACGGGAATGATCCCTCAGACTTTTGAATGAGCAGGCAGGCTGACACACGATCACAATCCCACATACACACTTGCACTGCTGAGGAAATTTGAACGACACCAACAATTTAAAACAAAAAAAAAAACAAAAAAAATAAAGGAAAAAGAAAGTGGCACAAGACACATTTTCATTCTGTTTTTAACGCACACATACTGGCAAATCAGACAAGACACAGATCATAGTAGTAGGGAATGAACACACACAGACCCCGAATGACTGACCTCAGCAGGTTGGTGTGGATAGACTGGCAGCTTTGTCTCTGTAAGTCCTCTCAGGGCTTGCGTTAGGCTTCCCTGCGGGACCTCTGCTGCAACACATCAGAGCCTTGACACTTTGAAAACCAGGTTATGCCAGCAAGTTACACCTCTTTACCAGCTGTTCCATGCTTCACACACACAAATAAACACACACCAAAATCTACCAACTCATGCACAGACTGCATAAATGTACTTGATAGAGTTTTACAAAACCAGTATAATCAAGATTGGGAAAATCACAGCAATTTGATGATGGGGGAGACAAAGTTTGATTTCATCACTTGTTACGGTTTTAAATGTAAAGCCATATTTCTGCATTTTTTTTTTTAAATTTTTTTTTTAACAAGTGCTCTTTCTGGAACTTGCTGTTACAAATCAAGAGTGGGATTTTTCCCTACAGTTGGGTTAAAGGGGGGCAATAAGGAAGAGGAGAAGGGTAAGGAGGGGTTGCCATTACTGTTTGCACTGCTTGTGTGTGTGTGTGTGTGTGTGTGTGTGTGTGCGCATGTGTGTATGCAAATGGTCGAGCAGATGTGTATGTGCATATAGGGTGCAAGAGAATGTATGAACAACCATTTTGAGTCTCAGCCATCCATTCGTGTCTGTTTTTATGCACGATGTTTTGGTGTTGTTGTTTTTTTAACTCTGAACTTTTGCTGGAATATGGACAAGAGAGGACGCCACCGAGCACACTAAACACGCTGGGTGTTTTGTTTTGTTTTTTCTTAAGGGAACAGGCATGTCATTTATGATTGGCTGGCTTACTGCTAAGTTGAATCAGTCTGGATTATAAACTGGGATCGTGTGTATGGCTCACATTTGCTTTAAAATACTGCATTAAATTTATCTTGATGCAGCAGACAAGCTCTTAGCATCCAAAGTGTGCGACTAACTTGTAGCCAGTTGAAAGTCTAAGCAAGTTTTCCTTCAGGCTAGCCGAACTTCCATGTTGAAGCAGTAGGAATAGAAATAAACCCCCCCCCCCCCAACCTGTCTACAGAGACCAATCTAGAGGAGAACACACATCCACTGCTCTCACTGGAGAATTTGGCACCAGTCGTTTATTTTCAATCTGTATTACCAAATTTTTTTATTTTTTTATTTTTTTTTTGTGTGTGTGTGTGCTGTTTTGTTTTTTTTAATTTAGCCCGTGGGTGTCTCCCCTGTATTTAGAGAATGAGCGTTCAATCATTGGTAAGAGGCCAAAATTTGACTGAGTTGTTAAACACTTCACATGATTCCACCTTTGATGTTTAGTCTTTGTGTTTTTAGGGTGTTTTTTTTTTTTTTTTTTTTTTCTTAAATTCTGTGTTGAAGCACTTAAATCTGTGTAGCTGTACATCTGGAGCAACAGTCTGCAGGTTTACAATCAGACTAAAAGCTGCGTGAGCTGTTTGACCGACCTTCAGCCTGCGAAAGAGGAGGAACTGATGGAAACGCGAGCGCTGATGTTGAAATAATAAAAGCCCTGAACATGATATTGAAAGAGTACTCAAATTGATGAACGTGTATTCCATAATGCTGGAAGAGGATGCTGGTTGCTCTTTGAACTTAACTAAAGGAACATCAAAACTATTATTATTATTATTTTTTTTTTTTTTTTTTTTTCCCCCCCCCCCAAAATCTATTTCTCAAACCTTTGAAGACACATTGTCTTGTTTGAGTATACGTTATATAAGATATATATTAAACTTTTTTTAAACCACCTTCTTTTAAGTTCTTCATTTCAAGGGGATTCCACGTGAGGATTGCTTATGTAGCAATTTGACTTGCATTGTCACATCAGACACATCAAAAATGAATTTAATGGTTTTATAATAATTAATAATAATAATAATAAGCTGATATTGGAATAGCTTTGAAGGGAGGGAAAAAATGGAAATTTGTCACTTTTTACTTAAAGAGACATTTGCCCCAAAATGGGTTAATTGTGAGCAAGCCAAGAGCAGCACTTGACTGAACTTACTGTGTATATAAATATTTTCTGCAACAAATCAGCATTCTCTGGGACATCCCTCGTGTCATGTCACATCTTTATTTCTTCAATTTTAAGTTTGTGTGAATGTTGTGGTGTGACAGCGTGTGCCTGTGAGTGAAAGTGGTGAAATAGACACGAGAATCTAAAGGCCCCTGCTCCTCAAATGATGATGATTATGTGGTGATCAAATGGCTTTGATTTACAGTTCACAACTCCAGCACCTCTTCTCACTGGCTCAGGCACAGCCATCATACTCTAGCCTAGCGTCCTGCGTTTTGGAAACAGCAGGATCAGATATCAGAACCATTGCACTGATGGACTCCACTGTGGACTTGCCTTCATTGCTATCACGGCCATAAGGGGGTGCTGCTGGACTTCTTTTGATATTGGTTGTGAAGCCATACACTGAACCTCGCTGCTGGCCACGCTTTAAGCAATGCTTCAATGCTAAACATGCAAGTTAATACCCCTGACCTCTCCTGTAGGCGTACACGGGCACAACAAGTGCCTCTTTATTATTTTGTAAATACCAAAAAAAAAAAAAAAAAAAAGAAGCAGCTAGATGGGGAATGCAGCATTAGTAGAAGGGGAGGCCTGCAGCTTCGTAGTGTTTGATTTGCAGCTTTACTATGGTTATCTTGCTTCTTTGTATATTTGAATGTGATCAGCAGTCAGGAATGTCACACCTGATGCCGGTATAAAAGATTTTTTCCTCCCCTTTTTTTTAAATATAGATATTTTTTTTGCTTGTTGCTGTTAGTTAAGGCTCAGAGGGCAATGAAAAAAAGCAATCTCTAAGGGGAGGACTTTGTCCTGGAAGGCATTTCCAGCCCCCTTTTGCAAGACTTTACAATGTAACGGGTGATACCTGCTACAGTATGGTAGCTTATAACATTTGCAACTATAATGTGCCAGTAAACATTTTTACTGAAGAAATCTGTGTGTGTTTTTCTTTCATGAACTTGGTCAGTGTAAGCTACATATACATGCACTCCATTTCCTGGATAAGGCTGTCAACTAAAGGGACTGTACGTTTAGATTAATGTTACACAATGAGTGTTATTTATTAGAATTTAAATATAGATGCATATTAGGCCAGAAATAAATTATACCCAGACCTAGTTGAAGCCATGAGATGCTTTGAAATACCATTTGTGCAATTATTTGAGAAAGGACATTTCCTACAAGCCAATTCTAGCAACTCGATTATTACATCATTTTGTAATTCGACGATTGCACTATGATAGCTTTGTTTGTATTATAAAACTAGTGAAGGAACATGGCCTCGCGTTGACCTCCGTGGGGTTGCATAAAATGCCCCAATTATGAGAGTATAATATAACCGTTAGCATTGTTCGATCTCACTAAAACGTAAGTCGCGCTGGACAAAACATTTCATTTAAGACTTAAAGTTCATCTTTTTCCTTGAACTACGCAGATGAATTTTATGAGCTTTTAAGGACCCATGAATGTCTCACGGTTTGACGTTTTCGCTACAATATGCATTTTTGCGCAATCTCCATTTGTTTATTTATCCATCTATCTGGCTATCCACCGGAGGTTCTAACCTGTCCATCACACCATTGACCCCGCCCCAATCAGTGGGCTCACCTGTCTTTATTAATGGCTGTTCTGGCTGCACGACTCTGCTCCAGGCCTCCGTCGACACCCGTGGATAAGTAGCTGCAGCGGCCGTGCATGAGACCTCTGTCTTCGGCTGTGACCATGGCCAGGACTGGGTTCTGCGACACCAAGCCTCTGCTGGACTTACACAAGAAGGTTTGCTCGGTGTGCTCCAGAGACCCAGTCTTAAACATATGTGATATACTTCTAAAATCAACTGTTAAAATGAAGCATGGAAATTTCTTCAGTTTCCATGCTTCATTTCTTTTCTGCCTTAAACCTTGGTGTGCTTGCTCAAATGCGGTGAGAATTTGGGCAAGCTGGTGGAGAAGTGAATGAGGAAAAGTAACCTTTACCTCATTAATCACATTCCTTTGTTATTGCACCCCGTTATCATCTCACAGCAACATAATTAGATGAGTCTGAAACTTTTTTTTTACTGCACTGCAGTCACCTTTCTCAAAGTCTACAAGTTTCTGTTATTAGACTGATTGTGTTCACCTGCCATGAGTCCATGTGGCTGTAACAGGACCTTGATGTGAGGCACGCTTTTTGAACAAATCATTGCAGAGATATGCTGTCAGCAGATTGTCTCACAAACTGTACTGAGGGGAGAAATGCATAGCCATTCAATTTTAATGTCAGAATCAGAAAGTGTCAGTCAGTTACCATCTGTGATCCCTCCAGGCGGATGAAAGGCGAGCCCCACTAAGAACCTGGGCTAATGCCTCTGGGCCTATAGATCGCTGGCTGCCTGTAGAAGCAGACGAGTCCAGGATGAACTTGCTTAAAATGGAACCAGAACGCAGATGGGTATGCTTTTTGTCTCCCAACACTAACATGACTTCATGTACTTAAAGTGACTTAATGTATTCTTTTGCCAGCTAAGTGTAGAATAGTTGCAGGAATTCTGTGTGGATGTAAAGTTCCTCTCCTTTGGAGAAAAAAAGTCTGGGTTAGAATTGGTGCTTTTATTTTTCCTTGCCATGATCATAAGAGTTGCAAATTGAGCATCATTTTGCAATGATCAAATGTGTTCTCTGCAGGAAAGGAGGCTGTCCTTGCAAACCAGTGATGGCATCATCATGGGGTTTCATGAGGACAGTAGGGCATGGTCACCTGGTAAATTAATTGGTATGTTTTGTTTTGAAAGATCAGAGCCATAAAACCACGTGGTGCCAACATATAGGATGAATGGTTAATAAAACTGAATTTTCAGTGCTCGTAAGAGGGAATATCGTTTTAAATCTGCTCAACGTTTATAAACTTGTGCTTCTCTTGCTGTCCTGTATAGCAGAAGGGTGTGTAGAAGATCCTGTGCTGCTTTATCCTTGTGGCCTGCAGGGTCTTCCTAGCCTACAAGTGCTGGTTCCTAGTTTGTTGCGCCATGAAATAGAGAAGGCATTAGAGAAATTGGATGTCATATGGGACCGGACATATGCCTGGGAGATGTTTCTAGACATGATGGTGAGACACAATTAAACCCCTTCATGTCTTATCTGAGTTAACCTTGTCTTTCAAGTGGGCTGTGTGCACAGGTCACTTGTAATGTGACTTCACACACTTATTATTGCACTCTCATCCTTTATTTTTTTTAATGTGCCTTCTGTCCTCTATTTTCATCCTTTAGCGAACCCAAATACAGAACTCTCTTCCCAGTGCTGACCTCCCCAGGTATTTTACTAATGCCACTCGAGGTATTCTGGTGGATTGGCTCATTCAGGTTCATGTAAGTCCCATTTAAAGTAGATTAATTTTTAGCTAATCAAAGACTGTATCCCTTTGTTGGGTTGTTTGTAAAAAGTAAAACGGGTACTGGGCACACAGGACACGCATGAAAACGCATCATCAAAGTAAGTGGATAATGTTGGGTTAATCTATATCTAAAAAAAAAAGCAGAAGTTGAAGAAAACTGTTTTTTGTTTTGTTTTTTGTTTTGTTTTTTTTGAGTCTGTGGGTCTTTGTGCTGATGCATCTTTAGCATTTCCCCGAGGGAAGCAGGCTTCATACAGCTTGCTCGCATTAGCTGATAAGCCTGTACTTCATGTTCAACTCCAAAAAAGCCAAGATGGAAATATGTGAAAAGCTAAATAGCAATGCTTTTAAAATGGTAGTGTACAAATTAATGGATGGCATCACTGTGGTTATGTATGTACATCTTCCATATAGAGCATAGGTGTGAAATTTGGCCCGCGAAGCCATACCAAATTATTAGATTAGATTCAGTTTTTCAACAAAACGTGTTTGAGTCCATAAGAAAAGATTCATTCTTATATCTGGAGGAATAAATATATTTCAATAAATATTAACGTTAGCCCGCGACTTTGTTCCAGTTTTGAATTTTGGCCCACTGTGTATTTGAGTTTGACACCCCTGATATAGAGTATGAAGGTCCTGTTTTGTTTTTTCCCAGGAAATTATGCACTTTCAAGATGAGACCCTTTATCTGGCTATACACCTCCTCAACCGCTCACTGCGACTAATCAAGGTGACCACAGCCAATCTGCAGCTCCTTGGCATGGTTTGTCTCTTCATTGCTGCCAAGAAAGAAGAGTGTCTTCTCCCTGAGGTATGCTGCCTCAGCACTCAATGTCTGAACAGATACAGCATCCTTGGATCTCTAAATAAGCCGTGAGCATGTTCAATACAGTGTAATTTGGCATGCCTTCATAAATATATTTTGTGTCCTCTTGTTTTTTGTGATTAATTGGTCAGCCTATTCATCTGGCCTGAAGCTCACATGGAATTTTTATTTTTTTTTTTTTTTTTTTTTTTTTTTTGTTAAGAGAAAGGTGAAAACAAACTACCTAAAGATGATACCCTACCCAAAAACATAGATGGCCTGAAAGCGGCTATCAAAGCAGCTTGGCTTCAGTAACATTTCAGGAGTGTCACAAGCTGATCACCCACATGCCATCTAGCACTGATGCATTAGTTTGTGCTAAATAATCCTTATCGAAGTGCTGAGTGTATAAACATACTCTTCAGAAGCTCAACTTTTTAATTCTTTTTTTGGTATTCATCTTAAGAAATATTATTTTGAGATACTGGAATTCTGAGTTTTCACGAGCTATATGCTATAACAATAAAAATGAAGTGTATGAAATATTTCACATTTTGTAATGAATATATGAAAGTTTTACCTTTTCAGTTGAATACAAAAAAACCCACCTTATGATCTTTTGAGATTCACTATTTTTAATCTTGCAAGTTAAGACGACAAACTTCGTTTCTAAAGCTGTTCTATATGTGGTGATTGCTCCAGGTGTCTGGACTCTGCTCCCTGATGGATCACACCTATACTAAGCATCAGTTTCTGCGAATGGAACGCAAAGTCCTCTCCGGCCTCAAGTTTGAGCTATCCTATTCTCAACCTCTTCATTTCCTGCTTATTTTTGCCTCTGTTGCTCACTGCAGTGCCTTGGTAGATGGACAACATTTTTGTCAAGATGTTTTGTGCACATTGATCAGAAAGATCCAGTGTCACCCCATCCTGTTATTTGTGGCACTAGGTGGTGTGGATGGCTCGTTATCTGCTGGAGCTGTCGCTCCTGGAGGGCCAGTGTGTGGTGTTTCTGCCTGCTCAGCTCGCTGGAGCCGCACTCTGTTTGGCCCGCCAAGTTGTGCAGGAGCCTACAACACCAGAGGGAGAGGCTGCCTGGTGTTTAGTCTCCAGCATTCATGTTGGCAGGTCAGCAACACATTTATTCATCACAAATTAATTAGTTACCGCATTTACATCTATACAAAGCTTTGTTACTTTCGTAGTGGTTAGTTTAATGTCTGTGCTGCCTTTTTTTTCTTTCTTTCTTTCTTTTCAGTGAAGCTACTCTTATGAAGATCATGCATATTCTAGCCAGTGCTGCTGCCAAGGCTCACACCTGTGCTACTTTTGTTAAATTTTCATCTCCAGAAACCATGCATGTCAGTAGACACCCAGGACTGAAAAATGCCTCTAGTCTACTGGGTGTATGCAGTTGACATACCTGATTTGAAACAACTTGATTACATTCTTGAGCTTCAAAGGTGCTAAACTTGTACAAACTAGTTTAAACTAGTTATACTACACTAGTATAACTCAAGAATGTCATTCCTTTGACAAAAAACTTCCAACCAAAGCAGTATCATCTTGACTATGGATCATGAAGTGTTGACATGTAATTGGGTAAAGAAACAAGTAAGATTTGTTGCCAGACATATGTACTGACCAACTTTGCAGCACACCTGTTTTATGAACTTATCTTGTAGCTGATTTAAGAAATATATATTTGAACTGTATTGATGTGTCCTTGTCTTGCCATTTTGTGGAGAGGATGTGGTCTGAATGCCAAGTTATTTGAGAAAGTTTTAATGTAAAAAAAAATAAAGTGTCTGGTGCTGAGTATTGACATCCGGCTTATTCATTTTTGTATAAATGTGGAATACATTTAAGTCCAGTGGCACCTGGAAAGTGTTTCTTTTCAATGGCACAGGAATGTTTAATTAAAAAAAAGTGTAAAAGTCTGAAGCCACCTCTAATTTCTTTATATTTTGCTAGAAAAAGTGGAAATGGGTGCAGAGACGTATTGTGCTAATGTACAGGAAACTGGAACTTGTCTGTCAATATTTGCTTTGACCACATTTATTCTTAAACACAACCTGAACACTCTTAATTTCTTTTTGAGTCTTCAGGAATGGTTTATTGACGGATATGCAGCGATCTTTGGATATTGGTTGCCTTTTTGTTCTGTTCTGTCAAGATGATCCCAAACTCTAGGAAGACCAAAAAAAACCAACACACACAATGGAACACTATCAATGCTTTCACTGCATTAGCAGAGTGTTTGGGATCATCTGACCTAGGTACTCTAGGTTCATTATTCCATAAATTAAACAGTTACTGTTGAATCATCCTGACTACATCTGTATATATATATATATATATAAGAGAACTCTTTATTGTCATTGCACAGTCATATATAGTACAGTAGTACAATGAAATTGGAAAACTGTCCTTTCGCAAATGTGTCTTTTGACCCTCTTGGTTTCCTGCACAAGCGCTGCCTTCCTGCGCACGTGTTTCCTATGATTGGCTCTTGGAGTTCTGTCACGGACCAATGGGAGCTTAGCTGGCTGAGAGAGCTCGTTTCGTGTGTGTGTGGTAGGTGGTACAAGAGGCAGCTGTGGGTTCAGTTAAGGTAAAACAGGACGAACACACGTTTAATTGTGTCGCCGCTGGGCTGTCCTCCCACAGTGTTGCTCATACTTACAGGATCGAGTGACAGCGTGCGGACACTGGTTATGTTTTGTTTTTACTTTTTCGGATCGTTTCTGGGATCGGCGACGTCAAGCTAGGAAAAATTTAGCCACTGTAATTTCAAAGCAAAAGCGTCGCAGTTTGTCCGGTTGGATAAAAGTACAGGTAAGTAGTGACGGAAGAACCTAAACTCAACAAACAACTGCACTGAGTAGTGTATAAAATATGTGATACTATTCACAACCGCGTCTTTTTACCTTTTTTTTTTTTTTTTTTAAGCTGTGCGTTTTATTTTGAAATTTATCGCATATGGCGTTCAACTTGAACAGTTTGATGGACGTTGCCTAATTTCAAACAGTTTTAGCCCTAGTTTTTTTTAAAACGGCAAATTTGACAAAGCACATATAATAAAATATACATACTGGATATACAACAGCTATAACATTTGAGCGTTTATGGACAGCATTAAAAAAAAGCAGAGAATCTAGAAAACAAGCCTTAGAATGGTATAATTGGCTGTTTTACGTACAGAGGTTTTACGTTTAGCTTATGTCAACAGATAATCTACACACAGCGTTTATAATGCCACCACCGTGGATACTAAATGTATTTTTTATGTTTTTGTTTGTGTGAGAGGAAGTGTATGTAAGAAGAGGGCCGGACTTAAAGTTGGGTATTACATAACACGGGGGGTGGGGGGAAGAGTGGTGTTGTTCAGCTGACAGCGGGCTGTGGTGCCTTCATGGAACCAGCCCGATAATATCATAAACGCTGTGATGATGTCATCAGTCAAGCCCACCCGATTGGTAGGATAATATCTTTAAATTCTTAAAGAGCAGCCATTAAAGTTAAAAGTCCTTCAACTGCACAACCATGCATGCTGCTGTAGTTAAATCGTTATCATCTCAACTCATCTTTGAGACAGAGAAATCACAGTAGAGAGCACAGAGGGATAATATCAGATTGTAGCTACAGTTTGTGGGCAACATGAGGAGTTCTGTGTATTACAGCCTAATTGTAAGTCATTTTAGTATCTTCATTAAAGCCGAGCTTTATCATGTCAGTTTATTTATATCGGTGCCTGCGTTGTACAGTATGAATTGATATGATTACTTGTTTCGTCCTTTACGTTTTGTTTTACAGAACATAATGCAGGGTGACATGCTTGGGGCAATTTAGAAATGGTGCTGGCACATAGTTTTTCCCAGCTGAGTGACTGTCTGCAGCACATGAAGCAGAGTACACATCACAGCTGAGCAGACAGTGGTGTGGGGTCAAGCAGGTAAGCTGCAAACGTGTGTGTGAAATGTGTTGTTGGAAAGGTAGAAAACCAGAAACCCATTTTTCTTTAACTTCCTAATATAATTATATGTATTTGTATGCTGATACATGGTACAGTTGAGTCCTAATTGAATAACAAGATCAGATATTTTGGTCATGCTGGTATGTAATTCTGATGTCTTTCCTATAATCTTGAACTATTGTTTACACATATACTGCCCTGTCAGTAAGTGTCTTGCAAACAAACTTATTTTTATTTATTTAGCAAAGATCCATCAACTAACATTTATGTCTGTTTGATGGTATTTCTCACAGGCCTTTGGCAGAAATTTTGGTTGTTTGCACCATGGAGTACTGTGGTGCAAACAACAGTACTTTTTTTGTAGACTAACTCCAAAGGCATTGGGCTTTATACAATTAGGTCAGCAATTTACTGGGTAAAGAATTTTTTGTAATTTTCCCTCTGTAGAAGTTTGTTATAAATCAAACTGTCAATATGTGGTTGGAGTAAGCTGAAGGCATGCAAAAATTAAATGCAATTTGCATTTACTATTTAGGAATTACAACTATTACAAGAGACTTACAAATAATTTGACAAACAATTTTAAATATAAGAATTGTTATTTGTGTTATTTATTTACCAAAGTCCTTCACACTAAATGACTACCTGAAGTCTAGAACCCGTGGACATCACCAAATGCTGTTTTTCCTTCATTGAGATGCTCTTCCAGGCCTTTACTGCGGCCATTTTCAGCCACTGCTTGTTTGGGGGCCTTTCTGTATTCAGTTTTGCATTAAATGATCGAACATTGCTTTGTTGAGCTGAGCTCAAGCGACAGACTTGGCTATTGAAGAAAATATTTCTTTGCCATTAGAAACTGTTGAGTTGCTTTTGCAGTAGGCTTTGGGTACGTATCCATTTGCATTGTGAGGTGCAGAATCTGGACAGACGTTTCCTCTTGCCTCTTCTATCAGCAAACATCTCATCAAGAAATCCTAGTGACCTAGTTCCACTGGAATAATACTCCCTCCACCATATTTGACAGATGATGTAGTATGCTTTGGTTCATGGACTGTTTTTGTCTTTGAGAATACTTTTCTCAACATTGTGGTGCAGACTAACTTTGGTATATTCTTGTAAAGTCTTATCTGGTTTTCCTGTTCTTGAGTGTAATCAGCTCTGTATTTCCATTCTTAAATGTGTCTTTTGATTGTTACCTTGACAATGATTGCCTCACCTGTTTCCTCTGTTCTTCACCTGGTTAGCTGTTGTCAAGTTCCTATCAACCAAGGAAATAATGTCATCATGGTCTTTAGTCATCTTCTTTTAGCCTTAGTCGTCTTCAATTCAATTCAATTCAATTTTATTTATATAGCGCCAAATCAGAACAAAAGTCGCTCAAGGCGCTTCATAGATACAGAGAAAAACCCAACAATCATATGACCCCCTATGAGCAAGCACTTTGGCGACAGTGGGAAGGAAAAACTCCCTTTTAACAGGAAGAAACCTCCAGCAGAACCAGGCTCAGGGAGGGGCGGCCATCTGCTGCGACCGGTTGGGGTGAAAGAAGGAAGACAGGATAAAGACATGCTGTGGAAGAGAGACAGAGGTTAATAACAGATATGATTCAATGCAGAGAGGTCTATTAACACATAGTGAGTGAGAAAGGTGACTGGAAAGGAAAAACTCAATGCATCATGGGAATCCCCGGCAGCATAACTAAGGGAGGATTCAGGGTCACCTGGTCCAGCACTAACTATAGTTAGTGCTGGACCAGAGCGAGAGCGAAGTGCTCTAATAGGGTGATATGGTACTACAAGGTCATTAAGATAAGATGGGGCCTGATTATTTAAGACCTTGTATGTGAGGAGCAGGATTTTGAATTCAATTCTGGATTTAACAGGAAGCCAATGAAGGGAAGCCAAAACAGGAGAAATCTGCTCTCTCTTTCTAGTCCCTGTCAGGACTCTTGCTGCAGCATTTTGGATTAACTGAAGACTTTTCAGCGAGTTTTTTTGGACATCCTGATAATAATGAATTACAGTAGTCCAGCCTGGAAGTAATAAATGCATGAACTAGTTTTTCAGCGTCACTCTGAGACAGGCTATTTCTAACTTTAGAAACTTAGTTACAGCGCTTTCAGAAAGACATCTGCTTTGATAAAGTCTACTCTCCACTGCTGTGTAATCAATTATTGTAAATGTAAATGTTATCAGGAAATGATCAGACAGGAGAGGGTTTTCAGGAAACACTGTTCCGTGCAAGAATCTACCAAATTGTTGGTAAACATTGTATGCTATCCTTCTAATAGTAGTTTTTTTTTTTTTTTTTTAATTTGATTTCATTTTTTCCAGCCTCACTTGCAACACTCTCTCTTTGGACCTTCATTCCAGTGAAATGACACCCTGTGAAAAACAGCTCTTGCAATTAACCATGGATCTGTTTATCTGTTTAATTTCTCAAGGAAATAAAACACAGGGCTGGGACGCACCTGGCATCAGGGATTTGTCCAATTGCTTCTGAGCCTCTGAATCTGAATTTGTGCAACATTTTTGTTAAAGTTGAGAGTATGTGCTTCAATCACACTTTGATTGTTTAAAATCCAGTTTTGTGATTTTTTTTTTTAATTGATTAATTAATTAATTAAAAAAACATATGGGCATGTACATGGCTTAATAGAGTCCTAAATGTATGTCAAGATCTGGTTTATGGTTAGGACTTAAAAAGTATCTGTCTAACTGTGTCTTAGTGAGCGATGTTAGGACCATCTGTTCAACACTGTGGTTAATGTTGCTGTCTAAGGAATTTTAACCATACATCAACTGAAACAGAGTATTCCATTTTACAAATTAAACTGAAACAGTTACCCTCCTATAGTATGAAGTATGAGGATATTGCTGTTTATTTGTGGATTATATATATGGTAAACCTGTTTAGAGTTACTATTTCCTACATCTTAGCACAG